GTTCAAGATATGAGCACAAAATTTTCTTCGAAGATTCTACAACTACCAAAATAGAATTTTGAGAGATTAGAAGTTTCTTGTTTTGAGAAATAGTACAAGACTAGTTCGATTGTTGATGAGCTCACTATTACATCAAAGGAACTTGGCATGCCTTTGTGAACTACAAAATAGATTAGTATAGATCTGAAATAGCGCAGTTTTTATCCGTAAATCTTAAAAGAAAAATGAAGATTAGAACTGACGTCTCAGAACTGTTTATGTCGTGGTTATTCTAAAACATACGTGAGTGTCGGAGTTACATTTAGATCCTGATGGACAGAACCTGTGTTCTTTGCAAACGGAAGAAGTGGTCTACGAAAAGGGATCTTCAGTCCCGATCGACTGCAGTATTAGAAGTTGCCCACGCAAAAGCTATTGCCGTCTAAATCCGGAACTTCAACAATATTTCTGCTGCAGGCGACGACAAGACACCGATAAAGGTAAGAAGTGTTCTGAGTGGGATTTTTGTGAAATGTCTACATATTGTATTCCTACTCAACCTTTGCACTTACTCAAACAAATTCATAATTGGAATTGAACAAAGTAAGATTAGATCTCACGCTTTCTTCACAACAGCTGATAAGTAGAAAAAGCCTGTTATAAAACGTGTTCATATATATATGTATATATATATATATATATATATACATATACATACATGTCTTTATAGGATCGGTTGAAACGTAACAGTTTCCATGAAAAATAGTTCAGCTTGAACAGTATATGGTATGCATACTGATTTTGTCCTTACCAATCTCTCTTTGTTGGCATAATCAAAGAATTTTAGGCGAAGTCTCAGATCAGTCGAGAAGAAAGGTGTTTTTATATCAGAAGTGTGTTTAGGTAAATGTTCCAATCCATCGCAGTCAGTCATGCTTAAAAACGGAGTCGCTATTAACTGTCTGTACTCAATCTGTCCACCTCGCAGCCACTGTGAATACAGCAGTACTGCTCTGCAGTACGTGTGCTGTGGATAAAGCCCAAAGATCATTGTTTATTCTGACTGAATAAAAATGCAGCTTTACCTAATGTAACTCTGTAAAAATGGAAGATTGATAGATGCTCGACTTGTGATTATGTACTATAAATAAAAATTGCAATCGATTTTTATAAGAATTTTTCATGCGCTCATAAAAATGGCAGACGCTATAACCTGATGAAGCTCTGTTGTTATCAAAATTTCCTCTTTAAATCCTTATGATCACTACAGCGGCTTTCTCATGGAAATAAGTGGGAAGCTCACTTTGCCATAGGGAGAAGTCGAAACTTAGATTAAAACGCTCATTCCTGCTTTAGATCCAAATGCTTTGTCGGCAAAAAACTCTCGTGACCATGGGATTATCTTCTTTTACTACCCTTGTTTTCTGCCAAGTGACACAATCTTACCTACAGATTCAACTTATTTCTCACATCACTACTTCCAAAAATGTACTGCCCTGATGTCTGTACGTGATCCTTTTGATTCATATTCTCGCATCCATCATCTGCGAAAGTCTTTGAGATTTGCGAATGAGTCCGTCTGCTCTTTTATTAATAGTCTGCATTTTCTTTTCTATGAATGTTGTCAGATGCTGGTCGAGTAGATTTTTTTAACAACTAATATAGCCAAGCTTTCCCACTTCATAATCATCGATGAGATATATTTTTATGAGTGAAAGGTAGTAAGGTGATCTCAGGAAAAGTGTAATATCAGTTGTTCGATCCAGTGAGAAACCTTGCTATTCGCTGGCGAGGGATAGGGTTGAACCACGTTTCTCGCTTTATTGCGGCATCATCACAATTGTATTTACAATGCCCAATCTAAAATACGATAGATAAAAGATGTTCGTCACAAGTGCAAGAGTTCAACTTCCCTCCAAATGAGGTCTGCAACATCTCACATCTACATTACATCATAAATGATATTCACCGCTCTAAGAGGAACGAGTTCAAACTTTGGAAAACTACTGAAGAATTCAGAGGCATACAAAACTACAGAACTATTCGAAAAGTGTGAGGGCATAGCTTTTATCAACAATATCAAGAAATGGGTGGGAGGGGCTGTAACCGAGTGATTAAGAATGCTCGACACGGCTGGACACGGCTGGACACGGCTCTTCGGCAATGAATAAGAAGCGCCCTACTAGAACTAAGCCATGCTCGTTTATAGAAATTACTGATGGGCAATGGATGAAGTCAGAGAGATTAACTACACTCCTTTCAGAAAAATCAAAGCTGCAATGAGCAAAAAGAGCGGTTTTGCGTAAAAGCTGAAGAAGTCAGAAAGAAGAAAATTATAAGATACCGTTTGTTAGTAAGAAAAAAAATTTGATTGGAACCAGGAATGTAAAGGAAAAGATTGAAGTCTTGGTTTAGTACTAATTGCACAATGACGAACGATAAATCTTCTCTACTGTTTCTTAATTTTGAGCAAAAAAAACTTTCTCACTTTTCAATAAGATTTTTCGAAGTCGCTCATCTCTTGTACTTAAGCTTAGCTGAGTTGTAAGAAATCTTATCTCAAATCATTTCTACCATTAATCATATTCTATAAACGGCAATGTGCATCTTTTTTAATCGCTTGACCTTCAATCCCTTCAGCTTTCTGAAAATTTATAGATGAATATAGATGATGTGCTTATAAAGTACTCTTGCTAAGGTTAGGAGATGTAACATAACAACAAAGTGTCATGATAATAACGATCAGTAGATTAAAAAATGGATTTAACTACGCCATCGGAAGGCAACCAATGCAATGCACTCCACGGTGAGTGTTTGGCGATAAAGTGGAGTATGAAGAGCCATTAGTGGGTCGGTCAGAAATTGTTTTAAATGCTTTTATCAGACGTTTTTCAATCTATTATAAATTACTTTAATAGGGTCTAATAGATCGCATATAGCAACTAATGAAGAAAAGCAGCTTTTGAAATAATATTTTTCTCCAAAAATCACTCGGAGACAGCCACTATCACTACAATTTGCTAGTGGGATCGCCGATTACATTACGTTAGCAAAAGCTTTTCCAAATCGCTGATTGCATGGACAAAAATCGCTGGAAATTAAAACAGCTCAACAATAAATGTAGTGGGTAGTCACTTCGTTGTAATCAAATACCCGATCGCAACTATTTTTGAAATGCTTTCAATAGGTAGAAATCTACACTTTTACAAGTTCTAAGATGAATAAGTTGGATTGTGTTTCTGAGTAAAGTGACCAAACGCCTTAGAAAAGAAATCGTTTACTGACTTAAGTAAACTATCACAAGAACATATAAATTGAATAATTACAAATTTAGGTATGCTGTGGACAGATATTGAAAACTCGCTTTCCTAACTATCGTCATTCAACTAATGCGAAGATTCGCAAGTAATTATGCCCGTACTGTTAATCTGCGGATATTCGTATTCGTTACTTTTGATCTTCTTGCTAATTCATGAAAAGACCATAGCCCCTGATAGTTGCAGCTTCGTGGAGACTTTTGTCGATATTAAAGCATGTTACCGTTCGTAATTGAGGGATGAAAAAAAATGAAAGAATGAGAGTTTTTTAGAATTGTCAAAAATGAAAGTCCAAATTCTTTAAACTGTGTATGTGACATAAACAAGGTTTCCTTCCTTTGTTCGGGACGAATTTGTGGAGAGACCTCATTTCTGGACAAGAACTATTTATGAGAGTGTAAGTACCTCGGAAAACTGCCACATGCACTATTACTAGAACGCCTTCTACATTGCTGTAGGATTCGAAATAATGAATCTTCTCATAAGTTTTGGCTTTGAAGCAATATATACCAAATCGTCTATGCGGACAGATCCTCAAGGAAGTAACTGAACGAAAAGACACCGTGCAACTGAGGAGGCTGAAAAGCCGAAACACGTGTCTTGCCTGTATAAGTGCTCATGATAGACCACATGAAAGGCTTAAAACAGATTGCCAGATTATACTGTTCTTGTGAGGCCTCAAAATAGTCGAGACGATTGCACTGATTGCTACAACATCCAAATTTATTGATCAGAGGTAATTGAAATGCTTAACAACACTATTCAAGGATGACCTATCAGCTAACATGTTTCCGTTATCCCTCACTAAACGAGTTAATACCGCTTTGTGCACAGTATTCTGAGCTTTCTCATGGTACCAAATTTGTCCATACTTGCCTCCTCATGGTGTATTCACGAAACTCCACAAGCAACCGAAACGTCGTTCACCTGAACAGAAAACCTTGACCCTTTGCACGGTTGATGTTCTCGAATGCGATCTGTGCATCGCTTCCCAATTCGTATATCGTAAAGCAGCAAATATTCGATAAATTCATTAAGCGGCTTCGATATGGTAAGTATTAACAAATTGGTACCAAAAAAAGCCTGGAAAATTCTGCGCAAGCGGTATTGCTTTGTTGCTCGAGAGATGGCAGAAAGTGTTTAAGATGACGAGGCCTACTTTGGATATTGCTGTAACGCAGTTTAATGTAGTTCTGGTTAATGAATTTGATGTTTATTGCTGCAGTGCCGAAACTTATGAGAAGATTTAATATTATGTTTCACACACGCCACACGCTTTTATCACTATCACACATATATTTTGCTGAAAAAGGTTTTTGTTCCTAAACCATTATTTACCACCAAATAGCGTAAACTTCGGAAAATCTAAAAATACACTTGTTTTTCAGAAAAGCCTTCTTACAGCTTCATAGAATTTTGTAGGTTGAGGAAAAAGTTGCTTAACCCTTTGACTTTCGCAGACCCTAATTAATGCGACACCACAACATTACAACGTCCAAGATCTGAACTCCAAATTGTTCTCAGTAGTGTCGTCGGAGCTTCTGCATCGCCGCAACGCAACGGCATGGCGACGACCAGTTCCCATTGACGAGTGGGTCAACTGCCGTTCATCAAGAGGAAGGTTGCTGGTACGAATTCCTGCCACTACGCTTCATTGTGGTATTTTTTTGGTGTTATCGTTCTGATTTCTGTTCTGTTCTGCTCTGCTCCCGGGTGGGCTCGAACCACCAACCTTTCGGTTAACAGCCGAATGCGCTGCCTACCACGGACCTCCCTCTTGGAGGGATCCCGCCGGGTTAGTCGCGATGGCACGTGGCGCGTCCCCAGGTGGCGGATAGGGGAATAAAACGCGAACCAAAAGCGACCGTGTGCTTCCTAGAGACGCAGGTGGATTCAGGGGACGAGCTCCCTGCTTCTGCAGCGCCGACTTGACAAAAACTCTATTTCTACGAGTCAACGGCCAAAAGCCTGCAATCAAGCGGCTGGGAAGTACATGGGAGGCGGTTAGGAGTCGCCTCCAACAAATAAGCTCCTCCCGCTCCTCCGAGAGAGACTGGCAAGCTACTCGTGAGTACCCAGCCCCACGTTTAGAGCCTGGCAAGCTACACGTTGGGTATCAAAATGCCAAAAACAGTAACAAATATGGGCCTCATTCCCCTGACCCCGAAAGAGCCCCTGGTACGGCAGCGCCAGGTAGGACGAGTATGGAGAGGCTGCTAAAATTTCAGGGCCGAACTAGGCTGCGAAGATCGAAACGGACTAAACTGACGATCTGTACCTACAACGCAAGAACCCTTGCTCACGAATCAGCAGTAGAAGATCTATTGATTCAAGCAAGAAGAATAAGGTACGACGTCATTGGCCTGGCTGAGACGAGAAGGCGTCATCCTTTTCACGCTGTCTATGACACGGGAGAAGAACTGTTCCTTGGAACATGCGATCGCAGAGGTGTCGGTGGCGTTGGCGTCCTCGTCAAATCGAATTGACAGTGAGCATTGATTCGTTCGAACAACTAACAACCCGTATCGGACGATTACGGTTAAAACGATGTGGTTCTATGCCGGCTTTGACCATCTTCGTTGCTTACGCACCAACATCAAGCTATGACGAAGACGACGTCGAAGCGTTCTATATGGACCTCGAAAAATTCTTCAGAGAAGATCATACATTCTTCAAGGTCATTGTCGGAGATTTTAACGCAAAAACTGGACCTAGAAGAACGTCTGAAGAACGTCACATAGGGACCCACGGACTAGAATGGAATGAACAGGGTGAGAGGCTATCCGAGTTTATCATGACGACCCAAACCATCCATGGTAACTCGCAATTCCAAAAGCCTCTCTCTCACCGATGGACGTGGGAGTCTCCCAATGGAGAGTACCATAACGAAATAGATCACATCATAGTAAATCGAAGGTTTTGCCTGACCGACGTCGCTGTTGTTCCCATGTTCTACACGGGATCAGACCATCGCCTCCTTCGCGCAACGTTCCGATTTTCGAGGAGAGGAGAGAAAGCCGCTAAATTCAAACAACGAAGTCCCAGAACTACCATAAACTGGGATGTATTCAAATCATTAGTCGGCTCTTAGGAAGATACCGTTGTCGACAACATCGACGAAGAATACGATCGACTCGCTGAATATCTCCACGTTAGCGCTAAAAAAGCCGAGAGTCCCAAGGTCACGAAGAGACGCTTGTCTCCGCAGACACTCGAGCTCATACGTCAACGTAGAATCGCACGAGCTGCAGGCAACCGAAACCTTACGGCCGAACTTGCGAAACGATGCAGAGAAGCGATAAAAGAAGACCTTAAAGAGAGAAGAGCAGCAGTTATGGCAGAAGCTGCAGAAGTTGGGAAGAGCATTCGCAAAGCCCAGCGAGGCTTCGCCAACTATGAGACCAAGATGATTGCACTCCGATACCCTGACGGGACACTTACAGCTTCCAGAAGGGCTATGGAGAAAATCATCCACCAGTACTACTCGGATCTCTCCACTAGCCATGTTCTCTTACCGTCATATAAATTGAAAGAGGGCGAATATGTCGTTCCACCGGTCCTTCCTTCCGAAATCCGACATGCTATATCGTCGGTGAAAAACAGAACAACACCCGGTCCAGACAGGATTAGACCAGAACACCTGAAGAACCTGCCGCCAGTTCTCATCAACACCCTGGCTCGGCTCTTCACTCGCTACCTGTCAGAATGCAAGGTCCCTATTCAATGGAAAACCAGCAAGACCGTATTGTTGTTCAAAAAGGGAGACCTTCACGACATAGGCAGTTATCGCCCAATCTGCTTGCTGTCCGTTCTCTATAAACTCTTTACTCGAGTCATCCTGAACAGGATTGACAGAACACTGGACGAAGGACAGCCATGCGAACAAGCAGCGTTCAGAAAAGGATTTAGTACCATGGACCACATCCACACGATCACAAGACTCATTGAAGTTTCGCGAGAGTACAAACAACCACTCTGTCTCACTTTTATCGATCTGAAAAAAGCCTTTGATTCAGTGGAAACAGAAGCGGTTATAGAGGCTCTGGATAACCAGGGCGTCCCTACTCGGTACATAATGATCCTTCGTGAGCTTTATAAAGATTTCACTACCAGAATATCTCCATTCTACAACAATATCACCATTGACGTAAGAAGAGGGGTTCGACAAGGCGATACAATATCGCCAAAACTATTCACTGCCACCCTACAAAACGTCATGCGAACATTAGAATGGGACGAAATGGGAGTGAAAATTGACGGTCGACAATTAAACCATCTTCGCTTTGCTGACGATATCGTTCTCATAACACCAAACATCAGCCAAGCGGAACGAATGTTGACTGATTTCGATAACGCCTGTGGAAAGATCGGTCTTCAACTGAATCTAACGAAAACAATGTTCATGAGGAACGGATGGGTTTCTAATGCCCCATTCACGCTCAACGGAACGACAATTTCCGAATGCTCCAGTTACGTCTATCTAGGTCGTGAAATCAACATGATGAACGACCTAGCCCCAGAGTTGAGCAGGAGGAAACGAGCGGCTTGGGGAACGTTTAAGAGCATCGAAGATGTAGTGAAGAGGACAAAGAACATCCGACTCCGTGCCCACCTTTTCGACTCGACAATTATCCCTGCCCTAACGTATGCAGCAGAAACCTGGTCGCTACGTAAGCAGGATGAAAGATCACTTGCCGTTATCGAACGCGCAGTCGAAAGGTCGATGCTAGGAGTATCCCGTATTTCGCAAATGAGAGAAAGGATCCGAAGTTCCGACCTACGTCAACGATCGAAAATCAGAGACGCCGTTCTACACGCCAGGATATCGAAAATAAGGTGGGCCGGACACGTGATGCGCTTCAACGACAACCGATGGACGAGAGCCGTTACCGACTGGATTCCTCGGGACGTCAAGCGCTCTAAAGGAAGACCACTGACCCGTTGGTCCGATTTCTTCACGAAAGCGATGGAAGAAAGATATGATGCTCAGCGAATTCCTAGAGCAAGGAGGACCCACTGGGCTACTCTTGCACGCGATAGGGAAAAATGGAAGAGTTGCTGGTACCCGCTCGAGTCACTCGACGATCAACGAGACGACAGGTGATACAGGTGATCGTTCTGATGTCGATTATTTTCGAAGGTACACAACGTGCAATCTTCACACAAAGAAGCGCTTAGTTGTCTGATATTTCACTACTTTCTTGATACAAATTTTGATCCATGAGACAAATTCAACATCGTTCGCTCTGTTTGACAATGTCGTTATTTCTAATATAATTAATTCGGGATGAGAATCTAAGCCTATGTGATCAACCGATTTATTTTCGGTTCATGATCCCCTTTAAAACAGTTCCATACTTCTTGGATAAATGGTGGTAGGAAAATATATACATTGATCGCTGTTGTTACGGTGTTACCATATAAGATATGGTGTGATGTAGTGTGTCTGTGATTCGAGCTTATACTGAAAACAAGAAGGCAACACCAAAAAAAAAAAATGCAGTGAAGCGAGTGGTAGAGAATCGAACCAGCAGCCTTCTTCCAGATAGACGGCAGTACGAGCCACTCGTCACTGCGGTCTGTTCGACGACTCTGCTAATAATGATCTGGGACATGAATTTTAGGCGTTGTAGTTTGCATCGTCACATTAATTTGGGTTAGTGGAAGTCATAGAGCTAACACCTGTTGAAAATTCAAAGTTTATGCGTGGATTCATTAAAAAAAAAACATCTATTAAGACAAAGGCCATCATTTTCTACCATCTTCTGCCAACAATATGCAAACTTCCGGATCTGCTTGGAACGCGCCATTCTTTGGGATTTAAATCAAAAAACTCTTGACATGTTTCTATATCTTGATCAAATGCCGCAAATAGGCGTTCACGCCGGAAATGTTCCAGCGGAAAAGACTTGATCGACGGCGTAGTGGAGGCTGGGCGCGGCAAGACCTCGACATCCCTCGAGTTCATCATACTTATCCTTAGTCTTTTTAAGGTGTGAGATATAGCATCGTCTAGCTTGAACAGCGCGCTTTTGACTAATCAATGTCGAATACTTCTTCTTCAACGCATCGTAGATTCGGTTCAATTATTCGCACCAGATATGTGGAGTGGTGTGCAAAAACGTTTGCTTCAGCCGGGATTCGAACCCAGATCTTACTCTTCTAGGGAGCGTATGCTAACCGTCGCACTACCGACGCTCGCTTTGCACAGCACTCTTATTTACCTATAACGCGTTGTCTGCCAACAGCCAACCGTCGACGGTCTGGCGGGACAGCCGATTTCGGCATTGAACCGACTTGTGTTGACAGACATTGGATATCGATAATCAGTTTAAATTCTTTTTATTTTGACCGCCACTTGCAGTGGTATGGTTTTTTGGTTTCTTTTTTGGTGTTGCCTTCTTGCTTTCAGTATAATAAGCTCAAATCACAAACACACAATATCACACCATATCTTATATGGTAATACCGTAACAAGAGCAATGAATGTATATATTTCCCCACCACCATTTATCCAAGAAGTATGGAACTGTTTTAAAGGGCATCTTGAACCGAAAGTAGATAGGTAGATCGCATGGGCTTAGATTCTCATCCTAAATTAATTATATTAGAAACTTAAGTCACAGGCAACAATGAAATAAGATCAATACGTTGAGTCAAGAGAGTGAATAAGTGAGCGTTGACACGTACGAAAAGTGAACAATTGGCCACTGTTATTGAACGGATCCCTGCTAGGCTTCGTTAACAAAACACTAAATACTAACGATTTTCAGAGTTGTGAAGTGCATGATTTTCGATGCCACATGTGTAAGTCGCTTTTTCTCAAGATGGAAAATGCTCTAAATGAATCTCACATCAATGATTTGATTCAAGTACGTAAGCTGTTCACAGATTTTCGAAATTAAGAGTGATGTAATTGAACGAGATTTCAAGAGGAATTTATTAAAGTCGCTTTTTCGATTGGCGAGTATCCTTTTTATAATTTCAGAATGTCTGTGATAAACACGCTATTGCATACGTTCAAAGGGTTGTGAAAGAAAGTTGGCCTGACCGCTTGTTGGATTTGCTTTTTCATCGCGTGATATGGTACAACTACCAATAATGGCGAGGGCAGCTAACATTGCGGCATGTGCTCCACCGCCACAATAATTTATCTATGAGCAGTTTCGCCTTGGCTTATTTTATATTCTTCTAAAATTGGAAGCTTTAGTAATCACCAATCTAGCCTAGCGCGCATAAACCTGAACTTGACGATTGTTAACGAGAATTAATTTAGATTGGGCTACAGAAATGGCATAAATGGAAAAGTGACAATTAGAATTTTGTAGAAAACTCGGATTAAGAAAAAACCTTAAATCAGAGACATTTAGACATCTTGATTAATTAAAACTTAGAGTCACATCCGAACTTCGATTCTGCAATTACACACTATGGAAGATAAATAAGCGCAATTCGTGTATTTCGTGTCCCAAGACAAAATAGCTTGTACAGCCAGATTGTTGTCAGCCAAATACGGTTTTCAAACTGCGCCTGTTCGAAGGTATTCTTCGAAATCAAGGTGCATAATTGGCAAGTTACATCAAGTTGTTTTTCTCAGTAGATGTTCAACCGAGTGAACTTGTTCTGTACTGAATTTTTGTAGTCTACCATAACTTTTTAATGGCAAAGCATTTGCTCACTTATAGTTGCATTCTTGAACAGCCAGTATGGTAGAAATATGGAATTTTTCCCTATATTGCTGTAAGGTGGTCGCTACTTGATAATGCTAGAACAGATTCCTCCATCAATGAATTTTTTTTTTGTAAAGACTGCCATTAGTTGTTGAATTATGCGGCATCAGAAAAAATAGACTAGATGAACCTTCCAATATTGTTCGAAAACTTAAGTAATGCAAAAATTTCTACCCATTTTATGAATAAAGATAAGAAGAAAAGTGATTCTAATCTATTTTTCGTATGACCAGTTGCCATTTCAGTGTGCGAATTCCACTACTTCTATTATCGAACTCATCATCTTGCGTTTGTCCTTCACAAAGGTTTGTGAACATTTTACCTACTGCTTCGGCTGCTGATCGAAGACAGCCTCTCCATTATTAATACCGTTAAATAGCAATTGAGTCAAATAGCTTGTGTTTTTTGAAGATAGCCAGACTAAAGAAATTGCGAGTGATTACTTGAGAGCTTTCGAAGAAGAGGTCGAGCTGGCACCATGCAATCTGAAAGAGTGCATCACTAATCGCTTTTACACCGTTTGTCGCTCCCACCTCCCAATTTCGTCTATAATATCTATTTTCGTAAAAAATAATAATTGACTTTTTGTACCGAAGTGCCTTCATAGCTTATATTAATTGAACCAGATTGTCCGCATAGGTACTGACTTAGAAAAAGGAGCGAATGAGGCATTCTAGAAAAAAAAACTAGTTCACGAAAACGAAGTGTTTGCCATCAAAAATGCTTATAACAAATCGATAATTTTCACATGTGTTAGTTGAAAGCCGATTATGCAAATGTAGGGCGTTGTAGGCCGCATGTGATATTGGGTTCGAAAATATAAACTTACCAAAAAAGCCTTCTGTTTTTGTTTGATTCCCATCCTTTGCATTGCATAGCTTGCTGTAACAGAACACTGCTTATAGCTTTCACATTCCGCCATGGAGCGGTTCTCTTTCTTCGCTACGCTGATAAAATATAGGTCTTTATTTGAATGTTTCAAGTTGTTTTTTCGTTATTGCTATCTGCTTGGAGCAAATCTACATTAAAACCATTGATTTACCATTGGTGGCACGAAAATTGTGACCAAAACTCTCGTTTTTTATCAATGTAGTAATGTATTCTGCTCATTGTAACCGTATTGGCCATACATATATCTTACAGCTTCCTCTTTTAAACATTTTGATCTTCAAATTCAATTTTGGTTTGGTTTTCTGATGTTATTCTGAATTCTGTGTTTACGCCCTTTCTTCACAACTTGCTGATCCGCCTTTACAGCGTTTTCTTCACTGTGGCGGATTGACAGTACTTCTGGCAATTCAATCGTTTTTTTCGTCTTCTTCATGACGTCGTAAGATGCTGGTTGGGTTCCGACAGCCTCGAGGATAGCCTTGCTGTGGCGTTCCGTAGGGCGTTCATGTGTTGACTGATTGAGAGTGTTGGGATAAGGTTCAGCCCCGTGGTGTCGGGATAAGCATCACAATTACCAAGCCATGGCACCGCCAACTACCATAAAAATGATTTAATTACAGAATCATGGTAATAAATTTGTCACCAGCGAATTACTGTTTCAAATAACCACGCACCAAGAGCTGACACTTCTCATGAGCATTGAATGTTAGTCTTTCGTTTTCCTATCATTATTGAATCGCTGATCTAACTATGCTGTGCTTACAAGGATATGTTGATACCATGGAGGCTTCCGAAAAACCAACAGAAAACACTCCACCCTCTTCACTTCATTGAGAAATTTGTAATGATTGGTATAACGCAAAATTCAACGGCTCTGGCGATTTCCACTTCCTTTTATTTGAAGAAGTTATTCGATCGCATCACTGGATACATAGCAACGTAACTCAAAAAGAAACTCATGCAACACAAAATGATATCGCAAACCAAGCCAACAAAAACATCCTGGTTTATTGCCTATCTACTCATCCCTCGCTCACGAATCG